TAACATGAAAATCGACAAGTTACCAAATTAACTCTATAATTAAGTTTCTACAAACTTCAGGTTGCAAGTTAATGAGAATTATACATGTGGTTATCTCATCAACATATCGATTGATATTCTAATTTTTTGGAAGAAACTTTTGGTTCTCCAAATTTAAAGCATATAAACTTTCTTGTTTCGTCTTGAAACCAAAATGGCTTAAGTAGTTACGCCAAATTTTACAATTTCTTTTCTGGAGAAAACAGTAAATTAATTATTCAACTATACCAGAACAATTTTGTACACATGAGCGTTTACTCTGACAGAATATTTGTTATTCTGTTATTTTCATTCTACCATAGTGTTCTTGTTTTTTTAAAAATAAAGTATCGCTGCTCTGCTGGAGACAACAATGAATTTTCAAATTCAAAATAATTGTGTTGGTAGAATAATTTATATCCTTCTTTGATATCTTGGAGAATATAATGTACTCCCTCCATTCCAAAATAAGTGTCATTCTAGAGTTTGCATATAGTTTAAGAAACACTTAAATAGGGTAGCTAAATTACTAGAATATTCTCAACTAACCCCATTAAAATAAATGTTCACCAATAATATTATTTCTTTTGAGGTTATGTTTGGAAATTTTTGACAAAAAATGCATTGAAATCCGAAAACGGCACTTATTTTGAAATTTCTCCAATTTGCTAAAACGACATTTATTTTGGAATGGAGGGAGTATCTCAATCCACTTTCTCCTTCTAACATTCTCTTGCACTTTTAGAAGCAAACTTTGTTTATTATTGCTCTTCAAGAGGCAATGATGAATTCATTATATTTGCTCTTCGGGAGCATTTATTTGTTTTCACTCTCCGGAGTAATTATACTCTACTGAAGTTTTCATCTATCTTCACAAAATAATTCAATGGCATATGTTCCACTGGAGCATCTAATTTTCATATTTATCATTGACTAGCATCATCTTCAGGGCGACTAATAAAAATCGAATTATGATTTGTTAATTCATTGTCGACAGGACTAATAAATTCATCTACTTTCAATAATATATTGAAGATATCAATAAGATAATTGTGGGTATACATAACATGTGAACCCTATGATTTTATGTCACAACGATAGTATTTGCAATATACTACCTTTCAATTTCAGATCGATAGTAGTGTTTTCACTATTTTTCCAACTTCAAGTGGTTAATAGTGTATTTGTTAGAATTGACACTATTATTATTGCATGATCGTCACATTTACTTCAGGAAATGGACTATGTCTAAATTGAACATGTCTTCAAATTAATTCTCTAACTTCAGGTGAAGAATAATACATATACATAATTATTGTAGATTTAATGTCTACAATTTGCCTCAAAATAATTTACTGCCCACTCACTTCGGGGAATGGAAGGAAATCAATTCATAAAATTTCATCAAATATTTCGCTATGATGCTACAACTGGAGCGATTATTGTAACATTACTACTTCATGAGCAATTTTATTTTATTATCATTAATCTTTCACTTTGGGTGAAAAATTATATATAGTAATTATTGTTCACTTGCTTCAGGAGGTGAGAAATTCCCAATTAAAGTTGATAAATTTTCATGAAAAAATAATAGTATACAGAGCAAGAAATAATAAACAGCTACACTAGAAGCAAGATATTGATGCAGTTATGATATATTAAAATGATCACTGAAAATTCAGAAATAATTTTTTTTCTTATGCAAATCATCAGTGAAAATGTACAAACATTTATTATGTCAACGTATATAGCAAATCACTACACCATATAGTATTTCTACACAATAATGATAATTTACTTTTCACATAATTTTCACATAATAAAGAAAGCCTACAAGTAAAGTTTTATTCCGAACGGACCAAACCCTTGTAACACAAACAATACGTAAACATGTATTTATTTGAAAGATATAATTTGGTTATAATTACTTTTAAAAAGGCTTAAATTGAATCAAAACAATTGGATGAAAACTGAACGACCAGAATAACTTAATAAAATCATAAAATTTATTGAAACCAAATTGATGACTCAATGGCGTAGGCAAACACATATATGAAAACGATGCAACCCCATTCTATGTCATAATGGCCATCAAATTATAATCAAATCAAAGCGTAGATCTGAACATATATTTATATCCTGCGAGATTTGTCACGACGTGCTGAAAGATTTGTTTAAGGTCATAGCGCTTCACGCGCTTTAGATTATAAAAACTTTTTAAAATATTCGTTGAGACTTCAGGCCTTCAAAATCATTGCACACGCTTCATTCGCTTCAGGTCATAAAAACCTTTTAAAATATTCACTAAGGATTCAGGCCTTCAGAATCAATACACACTAACTTTAAGCGGTGGTAAGTGAGAAGCCTTGTGGTTAGAGTCTCGTGCTGATAATGTGTTATAAAAATATTAATGCTAGACTACTAATATGAAATTAAGCATAAGAACAAAGAGAAGAGACAAGAGAGTAGAGAGATAAGATACTTGTATTGAGATGTGTTTTGAAGCATGAATGAGCTCTCTATTTATACAAAAAGTAGGAGATCAAAATATTAGAAATGAATCATCTATCATTAATGCTAAATATTACAAAATCACATTTTCTTGATTGTAAATAGAATAATACATATTATGTGACATTCAATCAAATCAGATTTTTCCATAACAAAGAAAATAAAGATGGGTCCAAGATATTTTCTTTTTCATTTCCTCCCGACAAACTTAAAATTGCTAAAATATTTTTAATACTACTAGTCACTAAAATAATGCGGCATAAATTAATTGAAAAGCGAAAAATTGAAATAATTAGGGAACCTAAATTACTATTTAGTGGGAGAATCTTTTCAAAGGCCTCGCTCTGAAGTCACCTTAATGGTTCTTTCTTTTGTTTTGTTTGGTCCTTTCCCTCTCCCGGAAAAATAAGAAATAAAAATGAAGAAGATGCTGCTTTCGTGCTTTTTCCATTCCTAATGGATACCTTCTTTCTTTTTTGCCCTGAAAAGTGTACACTATGCTTTCTTGTAAAATGACATAAAAATTTACACTATTTTTTTTTCTTTTATATGTAATTATTTTTTAGCAAGTAGTTGCAGTAGTAACTTTTATTTAATATAACTTTAAGTTTTTTACCCTCAAACGCAATCCTTTGTCATTCTCTTAATTCAAATATTATGGTTACAAATAAAGACAATATTGCTGTTACCAAAAAATAAATAAAATGAGACAATAAGAATAAACAATCACCACAGTAATTCTTCTTTTTTGGTTTTTTTTTTTTTTGTCTTTCTTTTGCCTCATTTTAACATGCTTCTCATGCCTAATTGTTGAGGTCGACTTGGTTTCCATCAAGACTTAATGAATTTAAACTCTGTATATACTATATCAAATCTCAAACCTCAATATATTTTTTGGAACAGATGCAATAATTATTTTTAAACATAGCATATTTTGCTATCCACTTGTAGTATCTAATGAGAAATCACATTAGTGTAAAACTTGGGAAGATAAGCCAATTAGACTATAGTTGGCATTGTGGAAGTATAATCATATAATAATATAATACTACATGTCTTATCACATCATATATTTTTACATTTTCAATATATTTTTTTTTACATTTTTAATATAAAAAAGACATAAAAATTCACATTAAAAAAAACAACCAAGCATATATTACTAGGAAATGTTCTATTACTGGTATCACTGGTTGACCGGACATGGAGATCATTTATATTCTCAGTTCACATAAGAAATTAGATTATGGACAAATGATCGCATGATCTAATATATAATCTTTCAGGTAGAAATTGCAAGTGTATCTTACTTAATAAGTATAGTAAAAGTATTTCTCGTTTATTTTTTGAATGTGAATTCCATATTGAATTAGTCAATTAACTCGTGTCTTCAATGACTGTTATAAAATAATTTTAGTATAGAGACCGTGATCTCAAGAGATTCAAGTTATTTTGGAGGAACGCAAATCTTATCAAAAGGAATGCGTTGATATCCTATACTCTATAGTGCCAACATGATTGTAAAGTTGATTTTAGAGTGCTAGCATTGGTATTCTTTTGTGTACTAACGAAACTCTACATAAAAAAGAGTATATTTTTTTGTTTTCCATATGAAAATGAAGATAGACCATTCTCATAAAAAGAAAATGAAGAGAGAAAAATATAACAAACAATTCTTTTGATCTATAAGTACAAAAGTTCACACTTCACACATACTAATGCTTGTTGGTGTACAATGGAGGCTTTTGTCCACGTCCATGATCAAAAATGTGTGTAGAAAGAAAAAGCTTCTCCAAAAGACCTCAGCTTTTATTTCTTTGTCTGCCATTTATATCATATGACCATATATAATAAATATTTAACACAAAACACATCACCTCTGTCTGTCACCCCTTTAGGCCATAACCTATATACTAGTACTAGTACTACAAACTTGTGCTCTTCCCAGACACAGCCAGAAATTCAGTCCATTAAGCCAATTTTTCTGGCTCTTCATTCATCATCTTTCCACCCATTTTCCGCTCTCTTCTTTTTTACTTTTCTTTTTGATTGTTGCATTTAGCTCTATCATAATAATCACAGCCACTCTAAAAAAAAAATAGCCTTTCTTTACAAAGTTCATTTACTCCATTGCAGGCACCATAATCATTCCCGACCACCCTTCTTATTATATCTTAATGAAAAAGCCTTCATCTATGTATAATATTATGTGTACTAGTATCACTAGCTAATGAACTAAAAAGTAGAGAGTGATATGTTCTGCTTCTTCATCAAAGACTACATTTTCCCCCCTGCTTGAATGGGGAAGAAAGAAGGCTAGGAGGGAGGAGAGGAGATAAAGTTTCAACCTTTGTTGCACAAATTAAAAAATTCTAGCTGGGATTTCGTGATTTTTAACACCAACCCATTTTCTTGTTTCAAAAACCCAGAAAAAACCCTTGAACTTTTGTTAATCTGAAGGAAGGGAAAAAATGATCAGTGCCACAGACCTTTACCATGTCCTAACTGCTGTCGTTCCCTTGTATGTGGCTATGATCTTAGCCTATGGTTCAGTGAAATGGTGGAAGATTTTCACCCCAGACCAGTGTTCAGGGATCAATAGATTTGTGGCTCTTTTTGCTGTTCCTCTGCTTTCTTTTCACTTCATATCAACCAACAATCCGTATGCCATGAACTACAGATTCATAGCAGCTGACACTCTTCAGAAGCTCATTGTCCTGGCTGTTTTGGCCGTCTGGTCAAGGGTCAGTTCAAGGGGGTCCCTGGAATGGTCTATCACTCTGTTTTCTCTGTCAACACTTCCCAATACACTTGTGATGGGGATTCCTCTCTTGAAGGGTATGTATGGTGATGCCTCAGGAAGCCTAATGGTTCAGATAGTTGTGCTGCAATGCATCATTTGGTACACATTGATGCTCTTCTTGTTTGAGTACAGAGGTGCAAGAATGCTCATTGCTGAGCAGTTTCCTGACACTGCAGGGTCTATTATATCATTTAAAGTTGATTCTGATATTATTTCTTTGGATGGTAAAGAGCCACTACAGACTGAAGCTGAGGTTGGTGAAGATGGGAAGCTTCATGTCACTGTGAGGAAATCAACTAGTTCAAGGTCTGAAATTTACTCTAGGAGATCCCATGGGCCTCATTCTGGTGTTTCAATGACACCAAGGCCGTCAAATTTGACTAATGCAGAGATTTATTCTCTTCAGTCATCAAGAAATCCTACTCCCAGGGGCTCTAGTTTTAACCATACTGATTTCTACTCAATGGTTAATGGAAAGAATACTAGTAATGCTAGTCCAAGGCACTCCAATTTCGGAAACTTGAATTTCGATGAGGAGAATGGGATTGGTGGATTTGGTAATCTCTCCAGGGCTAATGGGGTTTATGGGCAGGGGAATACAGGGTACCCTGCACCTGCTAGTGCTGGAATTTTTTCACCTGTATCAGGTCCGGGAGCTAAGAAGAAGGCAAACGGGGTGGATGCCGGAAAAGATCTTCACATGTTTGTCTGGAGTTCAAGTGCTTCACCGGTGTCTGAAGGAGGCATTCACGTTTTCCGGGGAGGTGAATATGGCAATGAACTCGGCATAGGAGCACACCCTAAAGGTCTGAAATTTCGCATATCTGGTTTGGTTTGAATTCTACTTTCAAGTCATGATTTTTGACTATTTTGATTGTGTTAGTTACATGTCTTGGTTCGTTTATGTAAATGATAATGTGTTCCCATGAATTTTCTTGGACTTTTATGCTATCGTATGTCACAATTTTTGTCCTGTTCAAGTCTATTATTAGATGGAGTTTCTTTAATTAGTTAGTGATGAAGTGGGGTTGGTTTGTGTTTGTTTTTGGCTTTCAATTCGCGCTGTTAGATGGCCTTATTGTTGATCTTGCTTGCCATCGCATAATTCCTGAAATGTGGTCTCCTTTGTCTTTCTCAAGGGACATGTTTCCACAATTTCTTTTCAACACTTGACCTATCTATCCTACTCTGACAATTTTTTCCTTGATATGGTTTTTCTATTCGGCAATTAGGTTGCATTTCATAATATTGAATTTTTGAATTATGTAGATTATGATGATTTCGGCCGTGATGAGTTCAGCTTTGCAAATAGACAAGGTGCAAATGGCACTGACCGTGAAGGGCCAGTTTTATCGAAGCTTGGTTCGAGCTCCACAGCTGAGCTGCACCCAAAAGCTAGTGCTTCTGAGATCAAAGCTACTTCGATGCCCCCTGCTAGTGTGATGACCAGGCTTATTTTGATAATGGTGTGGAGGAAACTTATTAGGAATCCTAATACTTACTCAAGTCTCTTTGGGTTGACATGGTCTCTGATCTCATTCAGGTATGAACATAATGCCTGGAGCCCTCGACTCTAATCCAATTTTATCATGATGTTACTGCTTAAAGTGATGTCCTAATAATTTTCTATGATCTTTAGGTGGAATGTTCAAATGCCTGCCATAGTTGCCAAATCCATTTCCATTTTGTCTGATGCTGGTCTCGGGATGGCCATGTTTAGTCTTGGTATACTTACAACAAGTCCCTCAATGACTTTTCCTTGTTGGGTTGAAATGGTCACTTAATGCACTGTAAATGCAGGTTTGTTCATGGCCCTGCAGCCTAGAATCATTGCTTGTGGGAAAACTATTGCTGCATTCTCTATGGGTGTTAGATTTCTCACTGGACCTGCTGTTATGGCTGCTGCGTCTATCGCTATCGGATTGAAAGGCACTTTGCTACATATTGCCATTGTTCAGGTTTAAGGAGAAGTGGAGAACCAGAATTTGTTGCTTGCTATTGTTAATTTGGCTGTCAAATGAAAATTGTTTTTTGATGGTTTTTTGCTATTGCAATTTCAGGCTGCTCTTCCACAGGGAATTGTTCCCTTCGTCTTTGCTAAGGAGTACAATGTTCATCCAGATATTCTCAGCACAATGTTAGTATCTCCAGAACCAATCCACCATTTTCTAGCAGTTTACAATATCTCGTCTCAAAATTACAAAAACTCCATGTCTTACCATAGTTTTTAACCTTTTTTTCTTTTTTTCCCCTTTGTTGTTGATGCAGGGTGATCTTTGGGATGTTAATTGCTCTACCAATCACTCTAGTGTACTACATTCTACTGGGGCTCTGAAACTCTGAAGTTAACCATCAAAGCTGCTGATCTCTGAAGTAAAAATTGGTTGCTAATCACTCAAGCACTAACCTTTTGACCTTAGTGTTTTTACCATTTGCTTTCTATTCTCCTCCTTTTAGTTTTGGGGCATCTAACTGAACAACATAGAATAGGCAGTAACCTCGTTCCTAGTAGTAGAGATGGCATGGTGAGGAAATGATTTAGAAAAGTTGGAGTTGAATCCAAAATTGAGCTGATTGGAAAAAGATTTATTAAGAAAAAAAAATGTGATCAATTATTTGTCAGCTTAATCGAGCCAAGACAATTGCTTTTTTGGTTCATTTCTATCTATCCCTCTTCTTCTTATGTGGTCATTTTTGGTGACTATTTTCATACTCTTACTTTTCTTCCTTTCATGTATGATGTCAAAACCCACCGTTCTTTTTAGGTTTTTAGTACTACACATTAAAAACCAGTTGTAATACAACTTGCAAAGTTGCAAACTTGCTTCTACTACTTTCCAGTTTTTCAGTTTGTCTGAAAAAAAAAGGTCAAAAAAGCTTACACCTAATTGGAATCTCTATGTGAGGGAAAACAGGGTTTTGTCTAAACGTGCTGCTCAAGGAAAAAAGATGTCTAGTCAGAGGCATTAATACCTTTGGCCAACTGCTACACTTTCCTAGTTCAACTTTTGTATACTATGTAGGATTATTAAAGTAGGTGTTTCACCTAGGCCGCGTTTGGTACCATTGAATTTAAGGGGTCTTGGAATCTGAGACTCTCAACCAATTTATGGCGCTTCCAGACTTTACTAATTTGAATGTGAATTGAAAATTGAAAGTTGAAACTCTGCCGTAAACTTTGATTTTGATTTTCATTGTAAAAATATAAACAGAATTATTAGAAATGTAGTACTAATTTTCAGCGAGTGAAATATGTAATAATAGTCCCTAATAATTAAACTCTCTTCACGCGGATCCCTAGAAAGATTACTGTAATTTCATTATGTTCTTTCTTCACTGATATTCTTTGGAATTGTTGTCAAACAGTCCCACTCTTTTGTAAACATATCATTATCACGGCCAATTATGTATGCAATCATGCAATAATTTAACAGTGATTTTTAATGTCACTCATAAGCAATAGTTATTCTCGATTGTCACTAAATAAGAGCAAATTCTTATTTCTTCTATTCCAAAATAAATGTTATTTTACACTTTGCACATAGTTTAAGAAACTCTTCAATAGGGAAATGAAAATACTTAGGCTATGTTTGGAAGGTTTTTTGAGTGTGTTTTTTTTTGTATTGAGAATGTAAAAATGTGATTAAAAATGTAAAAAGATGTATTGGGAATGTAAACAGGTATGCTGGAATGGGATAAATATTAATTAAAAATTATGAAAAAATGAGTGAAAAAAGGAACCAAATATAATCTGAAATATTCTCATCTAACCCCATTAAAAAAATGTTCACCAATAATATTAATTTTTTTAATACTTATTTTGGAACCGAGGGACTATTATATGCATTTCTATGTTAAACCGAATTGTACAAGTGTGTTTATCTAAAAGGGTGGTAATTTTAACTTAAGCAAATAATTAGGTGGACAAAGGGCCAAACCGAGAATTGATTGGGAGGAGCACTAGAGCGGCAGCTGCAGGAAAGCATGCTCAATTGTGTCATCCTAAAATGATAGCCTGTGGGGTGCCTCAGGTCTATGGGGATTATAGGCCTTGTCGGTTCATTTATATCTTGCTCCCTCCACCAAGGCAGCCCCATTCCCCCACTCCTTATTTTTTTACCCCTCCTTCTAACGTATACAATTCCTTAAGATTAATCTTTTACACTGGCTAAAGAAAAAGGATTGCTTTTGCCCCTCCTTGGTTGTCAATTTCAATGAAATATTGTTGTATTTTTTTTTGACATAAATTTTGAAATTACTCTTGGTTGATTTTGGAGTAATGAAAGAGAAAAAAGTATGTTGAATAGGCGCCCTTTAATTTACATGTTTTATTAAGAAAATATTTATTTTGTTATTAAGAAATTACTTTTTGTTGTAAAACGAATGGCAAAATATATATTAAATGTGAGCGTGCATTAAGCAAGGAATACTATTAAGTATAGTACTTTGATTTTGATGTAAACCTACTTATTATATATTTACAAAATTACCATTAGGTGATGGCTATAAATAGGAGGCTTATGTAGTAGTAAAATTGCACTAAAAATATACATGAGTAAATTTCCTCCTACTTTGCTTCTTATCCTATTTCTTCTTTCAAAGCTATTAATCACCTTCTCTCTCTCCTTTTAAGCATTATAATTATTTCATAACATTTCGATTATTATAAAATTATTATATTAAAGTCTCTAGTAGAGAAGTTATATAAAATAAATTTTTTTTTAATTAAATAGGAAGGTTGGAAAGAAGTTCGGGTTCTAACTGACTTAAAAACACTCAAGGAATCTACCCAAGAGATGAATTTTTAAGGCTGTTATAGCCAAATGATATGAAGCACCCAAGGGGTATACCCAAGGGATGGACTTAAAAATCATTTAGTTCCTTAGCTTCCTCCCTCATTTTATTAAATATCAACCAGAAACTTGGCAGTGCATAAGACTTACCAGTATACAAAAAGCTATTTGTATCGCGACCGGATATATGGAAAGGCAACCTGATCTAGATGTACAAGTCTCCCTTAATATGTCTAGGCAGACTACTCATAGTATTGTATCTGGTTGATATTCCAAGAGAAGCTTCACCTGCTAATCCATCTGCCACTGAATTTGCCTCTCTAAAAATATGTTGAACAGTATAAGCCTGCATCTCCATGTTGTGACAAATTTCCATCAAGTGAAAAGAATGCTTCCATGGAACATTCTTCCTAGACAGTAAAAGGCTAGCCAAACCTTTATTGTCGGTTTGGATATCCACCTTCTGTAAGCCAAGCTGACAACACTTCCTTACTCCAAACAGGACTCCATAAACCTCCGCATCAAAACTATCACCTCTTCCTAAGTAACCACTTTCACCATATACAAAGCTACCATTCCTCTTCCTGATGCAAAAGCCATATCCAGATCCGAATTAATAAGTGAGCCATCAGTGTTAAGAACACAATCACTACCCTCTGAAGCCTTCCACCTAATAGCCATACAAGTTCTCATCCGCACCTTTTGAAGTTGAAAGCCAAAATTATTCTCAATTAGTTATATAAATTAAATATATCATGATGTAGACCTTCCTGAGGAAGCTCCCATCATGACACCTAAGTCTTCTGGTCCTATGACACGTTCTAAAGCCAAGAAGTTGCAAGAAAGTGTCAGTGGTCTCCTACGTCAGACGGAAGTACCTATACCGAAAGAGTATGACGCTAGGTTGATCAATTTCCTTACCATTCAAGTCTAGTGTTTTCTGGTCCTTTCAGGTATGGTTTGCGGGGAAATAATTCAACTTGACCGAGGAGAAATGATGTTTGCCGAGAGAATCAACAAATGTACCTATTCGGCTAACCCGTTTGCCGGGAAAAGGTCATTACTCGGACAACTCTTCACCCAGGCCCAATTTTTTACATCCGATGATCGTTTTGGATATTTTATATACACATTATCGGAGGTAGAACCCAACTTGTCCGGGAGATTTTGGCATTTTCTGAGAGTTTTCTCAAAACGGTCCATTTTGCCGAGTCAAGAACCCGGGAGAGCCGTTTCAGCTTACCGATTTGATGTTGTGGCCTGATTTTTGGTTTATTTTGATGTTGTAAGTTATTTTAAGTGTTAGAACCTGAAAGAGGGATTCCTTAGGGACCAGGAAAGATCCACTAAGTCAAGTAATTATTTTTCTAAGATTTTCTAATAGTATAGGAAAGCTAGTTGTATTATTTTAGACATAGTTGCAACTTTTGACTCTTCTAGTTGCTTGCTTCACCACCTAACTTGTGGAGCCAGCCAAGTTTGATGTGATAAAGAGTCTTCTTCCTCAAAAAAAAAAAAAAGGAGGGACAGAAAAAAAAAAAAGAAAATTCCATAGCTTTTCAAAGCTTGAAACCGAGAGATCATCAATGGATTGTCCATGGTGAAATCTTGCAATTCCAAGGTTGGACTTTGGTGGTTTGCACTCCGGGAGTGTCAAGCAACGAGTATGGCAGCTAAGGATGAGTTTGGCCTGGTTGTTGGAGCTCTCTAATCAAGTTTGTAACAATCTAAGAGGAGCCAAGGTCGTTGAATCCATTTCCTTTGCGATTGTTAGTGATTCCTTTACTTTGGTTGTTGTTATCAACTTGGTAGCATACTAAGCTCTCTTTCCATTCAGATCTCATGTCATATTGCTCTTTTAGGTGTAGTTTTGGTGGCTGCATCTATTTGTGTATCGAATTCCTTTATTACTAAGTAATCTAGCCAAATCGTGAATTGTGTTCATGGTTATATCTTGCGATTGATCCTTGCGTCTTCGATTCTGCCTGCGTGCTCCATGTGTTTGACTTCATATTTTCTGAAAATCCTATCTTGTAAGTCTAAAAGGGTTTAGTAGGCCAGGGGTGTCAATTTATTAAGCCAAACATTGCATGACTCCAGGTTGTATCACTTAGGGTTAGTCTATTTTTCCAATTTTTGTTTTAGTACTTTTAGTTGTCCAAAAATTCTGAAATCTGGTGGATTTTAACTGCAGAGTATTGGAGATATTGTGTCCAAATTTCAGGTTAAAATAAATTCGTTTACTATATAAAAGAATCCAATATATTTTCTGTGGCAGATTGGTCCAAATCCATTTAGCTACTGCCCATTTTGGTTACTGGGGCTGTAGGCGTCCAAATGCACTCAAAATTTGCCATAAATTTTTATTTCATAATATAAGTATTGTGTTAAATTTTCAGGGCAATCCGACGTCGTTTGCCTGGGGTTCATTTTTTTTGTTATAATTACTACTTTCGTCGGTTTTGCATGTATTCTGAAAATCAGTTTGGTTACTGGGGTTTTTGCCACCATTCAGTGCTTCATTGTCTATTAATAAACTCCT